AATATTTTATACAATATTTATATCAGGACCTTGAATAACTTCTCGCTGTTTTCCAACAGATGGCGTTACCAGAACTGCGTGCGTGTAGTTTAAGATGGTAACGCGCCAGGAATTTATAAGGAAGTACTATAAGCAAGCTTGAAATTCAGTGTATGTCATTTTGCTGAAGTGTAAACAACTTTTTTTTCATAGTGTTAAACATGTCGAGTTTCGTGCCAAAAAAAGAGTATTTACGGGCAATTTTACTGCACTACTTTATTCAAAAAAAATCTGCAGCTAAAGCACACAGAATTTTTGTTGAGAGTTACGGCGACCATGCTCTGTCGGAAACAACATGCAGATAGTGGTTTAGACGTTTCAAAAATAATTATTTTGATGTTGAAGATAAAGAACGCTCTGGCGCACCGAAAAAGTTTGAAGACGAAAAATTGGAGGCATTACTTCATGAAGACTCATGTCAGACGCTAGCTGAACTTGCAGAATCATCAGGAGTTGAGGATCACATAACAGTTTCGAAACATTTGAATGTATTAGGAATGATTCAAAAGCAAGGACATTGGGTGCCGTACAAGTTGAAGCCGAGACGTCGAACGGCATCTTTTAAACGTGTGAACAGCTGCTTTAACGGCAGAAAAGGAAAGGTTTTTTGCATTGTATCGTGGCTAGCGATGAAAAGTGGATACACTACGATAACCCTAAGCGTAGAAGATCGTGGTAAACCCGGCCACACATCAACATCGTCGGCAAAGCCGAATATCTATAGTTCGAAGCTTCTGCTCTGAATTTAGTGGGATTAGCTGGGTGTAGTTTATTCTGAGCTGCTCAAACCGAACAAAACCATTACGGGAGATCGCTATCGACTACAATTGATGCATTTGAGCCGAACATTGATGGAAAAACGGCCGCTATACGAGCAGAGACACGACAAAGTGATTTTGCAATATGACAACGCTCGACCACATGTTGCACAACCGGTGAAAACCGGGAGCGGTGCACTTGGACACGGTGCATTTGGACACAGCCAATCACAGCACCGTGTGATTAGAGACATTTGTAGGGTCCCTTGGAACAGCGATTTGTGATTGGACTGTGTCCAATTGCCCCGTGTCCAACTGATATACACCCGTGAAAACCTACTTGGAAACGCTTAAATGGGAAGTCCTACCTCCTTATAGAAATATCATACTAAGAATCATTGATAATTACTTATTTTCAGTATTAAAAATACTGGATAATAAGTAATTATCAATGATTCTTAGTATGATATTTCTATAAGGGCCCCTCCCACCGTATTCACCAGACATTGCCCCTTTCGATTATCACTTGTTTCGATCGATGGCACATGGCCTGGCTGAGCAGCACTTCCATTCTTATGAAGATGCTAAAAAATGGGTCGACTCTTGGATAGCCTCAAAAGACGTGTCATTTTTCCGACGTAGAATTCAAATACTGCCAAAAAGATGGGAAAAAGTAGTGGCTAGCAATGGCAATACTTTCAGTGACATGTTTTTTACGATTTTTTTAAATAAAGCATTAAATAAAGCATTTTTTTTAATAAAGCAATTTTTACGAAAAATCAGCGAGAACTTATTCAAGGACTTAATAGTAAACGAAAAATAAATATTTGTAGTAATATTTTGTAAATATATCTATTTACAAATATTATATATAAAAAAATTAATGTAATTATTTAAAATTATTAAATTAATAAAAAAAAATAAGAAATTAGAATCTCAGCAATGGTAAGCAAATTTTCAAAGTACAATTTAAATTTGTGGCGAACGAGAATCGACAAAAGGTGCAAAAGCGTAGTTATAGAATTACGGAGCTTCGAGGCGTGTCGCCAGGCGGCGGCGCTCGCTCGAAGGTAAAATTTCACGTGGAACTGTACGGCGTGCCACTAGGCGGCGCTCACTCGCGGTTAATTCTCCGCAAGACCTACAATATAAAGGATCGCAGCGAGTGGTGCTACACGCTTGCAACAGTTGCAGAGCTGAGTCCTCCCTCGAAGGAGTTTAAGACTCACCTGACGCACTGGTCGGAAGACCCCGGCCCGCAATCGTATACCCCGAGTTGTGACTGCGGCTCCCTGCCGTCACGTCAGAAATATCTCTCCACGAGAGAATAATGGGGATCTTCCTACACAGGGCATAGTCCGCACAGAGCCCGCTCTTTCACGGAAGAAGGCTCATCGCCGTCGGTACCACTGAAAGGCTTAGTTACCCCAAATACTGGAAGACCTTTTTGGATCCACCTCACCACCCCGAGGTAGGACATCAGCCCGGCAATCAAGGCCACTAACTCCGCCAACGCCACCAGCGTTACAGAGGCCTCTGACGCCGACGTCACGGTCATCCTCGCCGCCTAAACCAGGAACCCCAGGAGTGGATTCTGCACAAAGGGACAGATCCCCGCGTTTACTCACGCCGATGCCCCGGACGTCATCTCCGTCGCTGCAGCTTCGAGGCGACCGTTGCGGACGACGGAGCCCGCAACAGAGATAACGCTGTTGCCGTGGAGGCTAATACCTCTGGAATTAGAACCTCCACGGTGTACGAGGCCGACGCTTTGCTATCTCGCTCCGTGGGACATCCGGGCGAGACGACCGCCTTCGCCCCCAACGACGAGGGAGCAAAGTACGCAGACATTTCCGCCACGGAACCACCGGGGAATACAGACCTCCCTAACGAAGAGGACTTTCTCATTCAAGAAGGGACACAGACGTCAGAAAAGTGATCCGCGTTGGGCCCCCCGCCTGCTATAAATAAGATAGAAGATAGAATATATGTATAGAAGATAGAATATATGTATTAATTAAATCCGTCTCCACATTAAATCACCTTTCCAAGGATCCTAAAAATAAAAAGTAAGCGAGCAGAGCGTGCTCTCCCCTACAAAATTTAATTAAGTAGCGTGTGAAACAATAAAATGGAAATTTTAAAAATAATTCAGGAAAAGAGAAAAATGTATATAAATGTATATGTTTTAATAAATATTTTTATAATATTTATGATATAAATATTTTTTCATCTATTGAATTTAAGGTTATAAAAATATTTTGTAAATATATTTGTAAATATATTTATAAAACATTTTGGTAAATATTCATAGAATATTCAAATAAATCTTATAAATATTTTGTAAATATTTTATAAATATTTTGTGCTGTATCTGGGTTAATGGATGAAAAGGATAGAGAATAGTAGTAATTGATATAATATGTTCAATAAATGTACAAAAATGTGTATTAAATATAGTCGAAATATTACAATCTTAACAAAGAAAGACATAACTGCTATGTAACATAGAAGTAACAAGAGTACGTGTTACGTCTATGTTATATAACAGTTATATTTTGTGTTTGCTGGAATAATTATAGTAAAAAATATGAAAAAATTAATTTATTAATGAGTTGTAGATGGATATTGTAAATGTGGGAGCTATTGAAGGTTTGTTTGTAATAAAAGCGTCTGAAATTAACTCTAAGAACTCTTTATCCTCTAATAACAGGCCATGTTCCATGAACTAAATCGATTTCAATTAATGACATTTTTTATATTATTTGATATTATTATTAGACTGCTTCTCTTTTTCTTTCTCTCTCTCACAATTTTTATAAAAGCAATATTGATACATTACTGATTGGGACCCGACGAGAGACATACGATAATCCAATAGCCAATAGGAAAATTAATTTTCTAAGGACAGTACATCACTAGCTAGTGACCTTAAAAAGTGCAATCTTTATACATCCACGAGATGCATTCAGCTACATCTGTTGCAAATAAAAGAACGCAACCATAGTGACGCCATGCTCTCAAAACGGTGTCGAAAAGTGATGGGGATAAGTGTTCGTGGTGCTCGCATTCTTTACACTTTTCGCACTTAGACGAATGTGTCAAAATACGTACAGAGCCTCCGCGCAAAAACATCCGTAACATGTTAATAGCGTTTTTCATTGGCAGAATTGGTGCGCACTGAGTGCGCACTAAGGCTTGTTCACAGTATGTTATTATATTGAAAGATTGTCTTAAATAAATTCTCAAATATTTTTAACCAGTAATATAATATATATAACATCCACACAAATCATTTTATTATCTAAAATATTTTTAAATATGTATTTAAAACACGATCTTAAATATGAAATGTGTTGTAAACAAGCCTTAGTGCACACTCAGTGCGCACCAGTTCTGTCAATGAAAAACGCTATAAGTTTACGGATTTCTTTGTGCGTTGACTTAACTTTACGTACAAATATAGCCATTGTATTATCAGTACTTAACGTAACGTAAAAGCTTGTCTACAATTTCTGTATATATATGGCTGTAAGGCTGTAAGACGCGAAATGAATTATTTTCATTCGCAGACAGCTCACGTTACAGCCTTACAGCCATATTCTTATAGCTATTGTAGACAAACCTTAATGAGACACATACCTTAGCATGTTATGGTACGTTCAGATTCCTCATCCGGGTGCACTCTATCACTAGAAACACTATAGTATATGTTACGTATACTATAACATTTCTAGTAATAGAATACACCCGTGTGGGGAATCTGAACGCAGCCTTACGTATGTGAAGTTTAACCGCCGACACGGTAAGACGTGTCTGAACAAGTTCAGACCAGTGATTTTTGGAAGTTGCCTTGGAACCTGCCAAGACCTTATTCATTCATACCTCATATAAGGATTGGAGAATGGCGTATGGGGATAACCTTTTTCCCCGGAGCCAATACAGAACAGAATAGAACAGATGTTACGTATGTGCTTGTGCGTTGTCTCGTAGGGAGACAGATTAGAGCACGTTAAATCGCAAAATAAGTGAGAATACAGGAAGATAAATAAAAAATGGAAAATATGTATATTAGGATAAACTATATTAATAGAAACATCCTATTTCTATAAGTGCAAATAATGTCCACATTTATAATCTGAAAAGTTACATGTAACAATATTGAAATGTAATATATTTACAATATACATAAGATGCTTTCATGTTGTGTACCTAAGTGCACAAATTTTCCAAGAAAACAATATTCAGTACATTGTTTTCCGACGGATATTGAAAGAAGACAAAAATGAAAGAAGATAAAAAACATCAATAGATCAATCTTAAATCCAGAAACAATATGTATGCAAGGTAAGTTATCTTTGTTATTATTACAACATTAACTCTATATTAATATTATTAATATTCAACAGGAACATTTTGCACCAGAAATGTGGAAGAAATAGCGAGTAGATGGAAAAAAAAAATTAAAAAGTTGTGCAATTCCCACAATTTTTCCACAGAAAACAATTACAAATAATGTTATAGGTTCAATTGCAAATGTAAGTATTTAAGTATTTACTGTAGTTTACAGTAATGTTATGTATTATGTATGTGTATACCTGCCCATACAGCATAAATCTTCAAAAGACGTTCTAAAAATGTTCTAAGGACATTTATACATCCTAAGAATATCCTAGAATATTCTCTGAAGATTTTGTGCTATCTGGATGCTTTATAGAATTTAAACATCCCCACATATATTGTTAATAGTAGTATGGGTTATCTATTGTAGATTGACGTCAATTGTACATCAAATAGAGCAAACGATTAGTTATCAATTAATTTAATAGAACAGGATAGAAAAATAACAATAAAATCACCAATTAATGATAATAGTGAATTCACAAGCAACATTTAACACAAAAAAGAACTCCCGACAGTGCCATCCATTACAAAAACAACCATTCCTATGCCATTAAATATAGGTGATATGAAGAAATTGGAAATGTTGGAATATGCTGAGCATAGAACACAGAAAGCTCTTTCAAAAGCAAAACAGACACAACTGAAACTACACCAAGCAAACAAAATAATTACAAAATTAGATAAGTCAAAGAAGACTGATAAAATGCGTGAACAACCTGATGCATAAAAAAAAAAGTTAATACAAGAAATATGCTATTGGAGACAAAATAAAAACATCGAAAAAATATTAAACAACGATCAAATAGCATCTCTATGTAGACTATCTAAACAATGTAGCAGCTGATCTAAAGCTATTTTGCAAAAAGCTCTTCAATTGAAATTATTTTACGGTAGTAACGGATACAAAGAAATATTACATCAGGGAATTCCTTTACCCTCAGAGTGCACTCAGAGTACTTAGAAGAAGACTAGAAGGAATGGATTTTGAATCTGGCATTAACATATGTTTGACATACTAAATGAACGAGTATCGTGCTTCACTAATGATCAAGAAAGATTGTATGTTTGCCAGCGACTAAATGAGTATCAGTATAAATGATCAAGTTGATCTTAATACAATGTCACATATAGGCCTTTCAACTTTTTCTAATTGCAGTGGTAAATTATGACTTGAAATATATTTAACTATATATGTTATATATGTATATGTGAACGTATGTATATATACACACACATATATATATATATATATATATATATGTGTATATATATATATATATATATATGTGTATATATATATATATATATATATGTGTATATATATATATATATATATATGTGTATATATATATATATATATATATGTGTATATATATATATATATATATATGTTATATATATATATAACATATATATATATATATATATATACACACATATATATATATATATATATATGTTATATATATATATAACATATGTATATATAAGTACTTATAAATCACTTTCCAGCATAAGGCACAAGTAACATAAAGTGCTATAGTATCTATTATTTTATTGTGTGGAATTATATTGTTGTTATTATATGAAAGTATGGTTTATACACTCAACCAGTAAACTGGTAGACTAGTAACTGGTAATATAAATATTACCTATTGTGTGCTGCAGAACACCATAATATATGTAATAATAATATGCAATCTTCTATACATAGTATAATAATACGCAAACTACTGTTTTAAAATATTAGAAAATTGTATATTATTGCATATACTATGATGTTCTGCAGCAAATAATAGATAACAAAAAATAACAATGTATAAACAGTGTTTTTGTATAATAACATGCCATACTATAAAATAATATCACTTTGTGTTATTTATGCCTTGTGCTGAAAAGTGACTTATAAGTGTACAAAGCTTAGTTTTGTGCGTAAGTATTTGCTGCTTCTACATATAATCAAAGAATAAGACATCTAATAATATATTTCATTCTGGAATAGATTATTTTCAAATTATATATTAATGTAGGTGAGATGAAGGATGCTAATCATGCATTAGTGTTCATGTTTGAAGGTCTTTTTACACGATGGAAAATACTCGTTGCGTATCATTTTACTCCTGATAGTATAGACAGTGCAATATTAAAACCTATAATGAAAATCATAATCGCAAAAGCAGAAGCTATTGGTCTATACGTACATAGCATAACATCTGATATGGATTCATTCAATTTAGAAATATGAAGAGCATTTGGTGGTATGTAAGTGTATGGATGTAACAGGCATTCAAAAATTAAAAATTCTATTGTATATCTTGTAGATAATACACAACACTTGTTTTTTATGCGGGCTGATGCCCCGCATTTATTAAAAAATTTAAAAGCTTTGTTAAATAAAGTCAATCAAAAAAGGCAGATATGATGACCAGACTCTTCTAGGGTCTCCAGGCCATAAAAATTAGTAGCGGAGACTTTAGAATTAAAAAGAGTAACGAGTCAAACAATCGTAACGGGTCTAAAATGCTTAAAGATCGTTCTACATTAAGCCAGCGGCACATGATGCTTGTTTTCGTGCTGGATTGCTTGCTGGATATAAATACTCTATTCTGATTGGTCCGTCGTCAGAAATGCATCAATCAGAACAGAGTATTTCTATCCAGCATGAAAACAAGCATCGTGTGCCGCTGGCTTTAGTTGCAAGCAGACGTAATTCTTATTGCAACAGCCAATCAGAAACATCAATGGTGCTATTGACGCTTCTGATTGGCTGTCGCAACTAGAGTTGCAATCGACTTGCAACTAATGTAGAACTTTAAAGAACATTTAACCAAGACTCAAACCTTACTTAGCCAAGACTCACACCTTTCTGTCAAAATAAGATTCTTCCTCGACACCGCTATATGGCGCCAGGCAGACCGTTAGCCAAGGGCTGTTTTCCAAATGTCAAGTAGGCTTGATTTCTGCAGTCGTATTTTTTGAGCATATTTAGCGAACGCTAAATATTCTGATTCTCAAGCTGAGACAACGCGATTATATACAATATTCGTATGACAAAAATAAAATTTGCAAATATATTTAGTGTTCATTATGCCTTTAAGATAAGACCTTTTTATTCTTCAAATTAAAGGAAAAATTCATAATATGTAGTTCCAAAGTCTCCGTTACGAGGCGCCACTAACTTTTATGGTTAATCGAAATAGTGAAGTATTAAAGAGGCGAGTTATTAGATTTGTTTATATTCTATTCATAACACACTCTGTCTAATTTAAACGAGCATGTGCAACATTCAAGAGTACTAAACTCCCGCGTTTTCATTTCGCGAAACGCCATTTAGGTCTCGACCTAAAAGTGCTGCGTAGCGCGCTGCGATCGCTCAAGTCAAACGCTCGAAGTCGCAACTCGAGTATCGACCGGCGACGGCGGCGCGGGTGCTGCCGCGGCGACTCCTCGATGCCAATTTCCTTCGATAATTGCAAATGGTCGCTTAATAACAGATGATTGAACGCGTTCCGCGGCGCGCGGCGTAGCATTTATCTGTCAAGAGTGGTGGCGGCCGGCCGTACGGTGATGCGCCGGCTGACGCGCGTCCGTTGAACGTTGAACCGGCGTAGCGGGGACTCGTGAACGCACACACACGCCAGAGCGAGCGAGAGAGAAAGAGAGGTTGCGAATTCGTTTATTTCCAAGTCGACTGGAGACAGCCGCGACGGAGTGAGCGAACGAGCGTGCGAAAGCGCAAGAAAGAGACAGACAAATAAGAGCGAGCCGAACGAGGCGGCCTTTGAATAACCGCGTCTTTTATTATGTGATCGCGAATCGCGCGCGGGGCGACGACACGGTGACGGCGAACGCGAGAAGAGAGAGAGTGGTGACGCGAAAGTAAGGAAGACAGCGAGACTAGGAAGAAAGGAAGGAAAGGCAGACAGGCTAGGAAACATGTGGAGCACTCGGGCCGATGTTTTCTGCTACCTCATCGTAGCGATACTCGCTCTGCCGACTCTTGGCCGTGCAGGTGAGTACTCGTTGCACCATTGCCATACTTGCGTCGTATCCGTAGCGAAAAGTTTATCACGAGAGAGACAGAGGGAGGGACAGAGAGAGAAAGAGAGAAAGACAGAAAAAGAGATAGTCGGCGTGGAAAAGTCTCGACGAGTGTTGGCCTCGCGGACAGACTCGCTGGTAAATTGAAGCCGACGAAATTGCCTCGTCCGAGCGAGGCACCGGAGTCACCCCAGCTCGGCCACAATGGTCTTCTTCCGTTCTCTCTCTCTCTCTCTCTCTCTCTTTCTCTATCTCTTTTCTCTCTCCTCTCTCACTCTCGCTCCCTTTCGTCCCTATGTCTCTTTCTCTCGCCTTCTCCGTTCGTCTCTTTCTATCTTCTTCATCTTCTTGTTTCTCTTTCTGTCTGCAACGCTCGTCTTTCTCTGCCGTAAAATCTCTGCTCCGACAGAGAAACGCAGCTGGGGCGCTCTTCGCGACTCTACGCGGGAATCGAGATCATTTTGTGACGACGACGACAACACATGATACATATCGCGTTTCTTTTTTACCGTTTTTTTTTCTTTTCTCAGCAAAATCGCGCGTTGGTAGCATTGGGTTGTGAAAATGCACTTTTCGTGGCGCAAAAATTTTCACGGTGCACTTCGCGACGGTGCAATTAATTCCGTCGGACTTCAGTTGCCGTGATATGGACGCGTGAATTTTTCGCACGCACGTTTTCCGCTTTTCCGAGAAACATGTAGGAAGCATGCGAAAATCTATGACGATAACGGCGTATCGCCCCTTGAAATCTGTCGTCGCACGCGATACGACGAGAATAGCGTTAATTACCATGTCAAGGTGTCGGTTCTGACAAGAAAGACCGAGAGAGAGGCCCAGAAAAAAATGTCTGTTATTTTATTACTCACTATTGTATATTATTATTGTTTATTATTATTATTTATTATTATATTATTATTGTTTATTATTTTGTCATTTACTATAATTCCATAGAAAAGTAATTATTGTAAATTATAGTAAAAAAACAATTTTTTGTTATTGAGTTCTATTATAATGTTAATAATAATAATCTTATTATACACGTTACTACCGCCATATTTTTGGAACAATAAAAAAATATAGTTGAAGTTAAAAACAACTATAAGGTTAAAATTACTAATTTTTATTCCCAGTGAAGAAACGTCAAATTAACGATTTTACAGAAGAAGTAACGATGTAAATTTCCTATAGGCCAATTCTCTATTCAGCTTTAATGACGTGTATCGCTGTTATGTTGTAACGTTGCGCAGCTTCTCTACTACGTAACATACCTGCGCAAACGACGACATAACGATATTGCCGTTAAAAGCTACAAAATTGGGCCCACTGTTGACGAAACTCGTCGGACTTGAAGGCTACGCCGAAACTAACGTGCCTCACAAATAATCGATCTCGCGATGCAATTTTCGTTACTCTTCGTCTCGTTTTCGCAACACGCTCTCGCGCAACCCGAAGTTCCCCATGTTCTTCGCATTTGATTCGTCACGAAGGTCGATTCGTAACGCTTATTCGCCGCATCCTGGTACTTTCCCGGATAATTATGACGCCAAGATACGCTTGAGGAGCACACTTGCAATTATACACGGGCATTAAAATACTTCATTAAGAGAGCACCGTTTTTCCGTCTGGTTCGCGTAGTCGTCGATCGTTGCGCGAATGCGAGCGGGACCGCCTTCTTCTCGCGTGTCACAATCGTCGGTAGCTCCGGGGTAGAAATCGACTTCGTGACGAAATTAACGCGAGGACGACCTCGCATCAGCCCGTTCCTATCTATGTTTACATGCTAAGTACGTTTTCGCCGTGTATCGATCTCTCTTCTCCTTTTAAATGCCCGTGTTGTTTTTACGAAATGCGCTACGCGAGAAAATTGGGTCGCCTTTTGAAGACCTGGTTGCGTCTCATCTCTCAATATTTTGCAATGTGGAAAATATCTTCTTCCTTCTCAAAAGTTCCTGTGCCGTTTTCACGGAAAGTTAACGCACGAGAAAATCGGATCGCTTTTAATTTCACCTAATATAATGTGTTTCATAAGAAACGTCGAAAACTTTCTAAAAAGAGAGACTATATCGATACGTTCGAAAAAAATGAAACGACGTCTTTGTAAAATTGACTTTTATCTCGCGAAATCCGCGACTTTAATCCGGCGCTTCCTCAATAAACCAAACAAAACGAAGAGATAAAACCAACGATTTGTCGTCAGCAAGCGCGCGCGGGAATTCACCGAAATTGTTTTCTCGTTGTCGACGAGGCCCTGTTTTATCCGCTTTTATTGATCGCGCATTTGTGTCAGCGGCAGCCGACTCGGCCAGCCGAAAACGACGCGTCAATTTTCGAGCGCAGATCCGTGCAATGCGTTCCACGTTGCAGCGTGGCCCGCGGTATTAATTTAAATAACTGGAAGCTTATGTAAGTGGCGCGCGCGAGCGCGAGAGGAATTCGTCGAAAAGAAAACTGGCGGAACGGCGCTTCGCGTGCGATCTCTCGCGAGAACCCGTGCATTTCGTCGTTTTTTTAGAGAACAACAATCCGCGACGCGACGCCGCGCGGCGAAATTTTCTCCCCGCACAATTTTTCGCTCATTTTATTATTGCACGTTTGTTTATCCCGCGCACTCGCTACACGTAACGGCTGTGTTGTCCGAATATAACAATGCGGGAAATGCACACAAATAGCGGCAATGTAAAAATATGTCGACGGATCTTTGTGTTTCACTTATATCGAGGTATTTCCTTGTTTTCCGAATTCTCTCTCTTCCTCCTTGTCATTTTCTCCCCTTTTCCGGTCGCTCTTGAAGTGGCGAAATGCGCCGCATGCAGAATAACGCTTTGGTAAATCCCCCGAGTAACTCCACGCTCGTCTCATGCGGGCCGTTCGCAGTCTGGTCTATAATAAACTAGATGAGTTCGCGGGATACCGCATTGCACATGGAATCCTCTGCCAATTCGCGTTTACGTGGCGAAATCCGCCATGTCGAAGATCGAACAGCTGACGTGAAATATGAGCGAGACGCAGGAGTCTCATCCACAGACTTTACAGACTTGCTAATTTGGATAAAATATATAGTTCGACAAAGTATGTGCTAAACTCATGCGCACGTATCATGTAAGTGGTATGTTGGTGAGATACACCCAAGAAGAAACCTAGTTAAAAAAATATATATATTTTCAGCTACACTCATCTTTCCATACCTTTTACTATCACTCTTATACAACTAATATTCTTATCCTGATGTTACAATTTTTGTACCAGCTACAATATCATACAATATCATAAAATATCTTTCTTTTTACAAACTTATATTCTTCTAATATCACATTTGTCACATTGTGACATACTCCTTTCTATCTTATTCTATTTCCTCTATTATCTATCTCCATTTTAATTTACCATTACCGTTTTCCTAATTTTTTCCCTCTATCTTACATCTTGCATTCTGTATCCTGCATCATATCTACATTTTTTTTATTCACAGCTACAACTCTCTTTTTCTTTCTCTTCTTTGATTTTTTCAACCTTTTATCTCTTCCTTCCCAAATCTTCCATAAAATATTATTTTTTCTCTTATCTAACTCATCATCCCAAATCCTTTTCCATATTGCCTCATTATCTTCTTTTTAAACCATCTAAAATCTAACTCTTTAAACCATCCTTTTACTCTAACACTTACCCACATAATGTCTTATATTATCTTGCTACCTTCCGCGAAACACATAACCGCGATAACCTTTCGTGATTGGCGATGTAATGTTTTTTATTTTAACGTTTTTAAATCTGTATCGTGAGACCTGATATCTGGATATTAGCGACATTACGTTCGTTAGTTCAATTGTATACACACATTATGTAAATGTCCTCTCTTTTTTATTTTTTTTTTTTTTTTTAGTTAATTTTAATATTATCGAATTTGCTTTGCGAGACAAACGCAATACTTGATATCTTTGCTTTATTGTGTTAGCGACGCTGCAATTAATTGCTGTAAAATGCCGCAATTCACGATAACGACAAACGGCAAACTGATACGACTCTATCTCCGGGTATCCGGAGTATGTAATAAAATTCTACAGAATTACATCGGCAAGAGGCACTCGTTATCGCGCGATACATTTTGTTCGCGATTGTTTCCCAATAATTCAAGCTGTCATGTTAGCTGTCAACTGTCGCGTTAGAATGTTGCGCAAAACAATATCGACGTTGTACAATTTAATCCGCCAATAATTTAACGATACATTTCCCAACACAAAGAAAATAGTCTTGCAGTCAAAGCGAAAAGTTATCTAGATACGAGAAATTAGCTAAGGAAGTTTCTTCGTGATGTCCATTCCGATTCAAACCAGTCATATCTCTTATAAAAGTTGACTCTCTGTGGTAGACAAAAAAACTAGCTACGAGACATAAACGAATGCATAATCTTCACTTAAATTTGCCAGCAAATATTGATAAAATGCTGCTGCTGCTATAAATTCTACATACCACAGGCGATTTTCTGGCGGATACAGAAAACAGCGGTAAATTTTAACTGTGACATTTAGAATCCTACCTGGATCATCAGGATATTTTTTTAGCGTCTCGCAATCATTTATCCCACTATCGGATTTTGTCGACGAGGAGGTAAATAGTTATATAATAATAACGCCGTATAATTTTAATTCGCGCTCGCCAAGTATGAGTGCTTATTTAAACGGCGATATTCCATTTAAACGGTGAATTCTGATATTTGCGGCTGGAGTTTTAACGGGCGGTTGGGTTCGCCAACCGTGGACTTCCTGAAAGCGGGATGAAGGGGCTCTTTGTTCCCGTCCGAATGGCTCACGATTTCACGACGTTATCGCGGAAAAGTCAGCTCCCTGCACTGCCGTATTGTGAGTCCCCGCGAACGCGCCAGGAAACGTCTCGAACTTGAATGCCGATGCCTTCCAAGTAGTTCCGGAACGCGATTTTTCTCGACGGGACCGTCGTAGAAATTCAGCACCAATCGATCGATCGATCAATCGCCACTGTAAACTATGCTATTGCTCTCGACTCTATTGCCAACGTCGGTTTGATTTCTTTGCGCGGATAAAAAGCTTGATGTTGCGACGAGACGCCGCTCGGTCGTACATTTTCCCTCAACTCGTCAGAGGCCGCAATTATTTCGCAAACATTTTTCATTAAACGGCCAGTCTATCTTTCCCTCAGAAGTCTTACATAAATATTACCATTTTTCTCGAAGACATAAATGCTACTGGGAATAGATAAATAGATAGATAAGTGCTTTTATCATTTACTCTAAAGTGTTGCCTTCTTGAGCATTGAATTCAGAGTTGGATGTCAGCTTATTAGTTGAATCACACGACTACACATATAAATCTCACATATGTTAACTAAGAAACTCGAATCTGACTCTGAATAAAAATCTGGATACCTCACATAAGGCAAGTTTCAAAAGTCCTAGAAACGTTTACAGAGAAGTGGTTAACGAGTAGCTTTGGTTGTAGCTTCGTTTTATCAGTATTTATATAGAGTTATAACGTTCGTCAACTGCTCTACTTAATCTACCAGATTCGAACAGTTCTCACTTCTTGCAATTTCAGCGAGAAAGGCTCTACTTATAATTGATTATTACGCAGCTCTAGCACAGAATAATTTAAACTAATTTAACATTTTAACGAAAAAAACACTTAAAACTCGCGTCTGAATGTCGATCGCGGAGCTAAATTTTTAATAATTGCAGAACGAAATGATATATTAATCACAAATAATGTTCAATAAAGAAAGCGTCCTATAAATTGGATACCGGCTGCCAATGGATTAATCCCGCGACGACGCGTTCGCTATTTTTTATTTCTTTTTCTCTTTACGTCAACATTTATTTAGACGCATTGCGATGAATCACGCGGTGCGACATTACGTGTCGTTACATCTGGAATTAACGCGACACTGTCCGCTTAAATCAAAGACAAGTGAGTCTCTTTAACGTGCTTGACTCAGCTTCGGTATGGTTAACTCCCGTGTTGATAAAACGAATTTGTCTCAATTAACTGATTCAGCCAACCACGGATCGCGCGGGCGATGGAGTTACGAAAATGCCATTCATCCTCTCGTTCCTTCGTGTCTCTCTCTTTCTCTCTCTCTCTCTCCCCCTTCCCCTCCTCCCTCCTTCCTTCTCTCCCTCTCTCCCTACATATATCTCTCTTCTTTTGTGTATTCTGCTGCAGACGAGATAATGGTGCTGCTCGCTTTGGCGATAAAGGCACGCGGATAAGGAGCGCGTGTTCGATTGAACGTCGCGTGATGCACGTAATGATCGATACGACGGGGCTGTATATCGCGTCTTTGTGTCCGCGTAGGTGGTATCGTTGTTGCATTGTCTTCGAAATTATGACGGTTTATCTCCCCTTTCTCAACATGCAAGCTGCATACCTCGAACCACGGGCTCTCGAGCTCTGTGCGACTCGTCTTTGTCAAACGAGGGATATTCTCGCGCGCGGAATATTTCACCGCGGAAAATTCAAACAGAAAATCTCTTTGGGACACTCGATCAAATATATAAAGAATGGACAGCAAGAGTCAAAGTACGAATGATACATATTTTTTGTCATAAAAAGTAGATCACTGAGTAATTTTACAGCGACTTTCTGCGCGTCGAAAACTTTTTCAGAACAACTGTGGTTAGAGGCTAATTAAACAGAGCGTAATTCACACATCTCTCTCCTTAATTCTTCTCTCTTTTCCTCTTTCATTCGCTCTTTTTGTTCCTTTGTTTTTCTGGTCGCGAAGAATGACAAGAGGCATCCAAGGCGTTATCTCTTATCGCAATCGCAATTTCGAGAGTATTTTGCAACCGCTGGATCAGTCTTGTGTCTCGTGATTATGAGCTAATCAGGCACCTCGGCGTCGAATGAGCAAGATAAATTAGCTCTTTTTCGTTTCTTTCCTTTTCCCGTTGGATAACTGCAATTGAGGCAACCGCGCATACAAAAGTACATTCATTCGTCTGATTTAAGGGGATGCTGGAGTCGATGACGAACTCAAACAATGTCGATAATGCAGAGACGATCGTCACTAACATAATCACGCTATCCTTTTCGTATTTCTTATATTAATATATATAGAACTTACATGAATGTGTGTTGCTTTGTTTTACCATATTTAACGGAAAACCTAATCATATATATGTAGAAATCTTTTCGCAAACTTTTTCGATATTCTTAAGCTTCCAAATGCGGATACAAAGATAGAGCAATGTTCTTCAAAATTTTTCTGCTTGGAGCATCCACAATTTCGGTATGTACAAGCTGCGGAACTTTTGGATTAGGCAAATATTACGCTAACTGACAGCTTGAGATTTTACATAAAAAATTTTTTGTTCGTTTTCGACACATATTGAGCAATGCTTTATTTTTGCACGTACTTTCATTGCGTAAAAGCATTTGTAATTTTGTGTAACCAATACGACGTAAACTTTGCAGAAAAATGTCAGTGTTCTGTCGGTAAAGTTTTCAACTTCAGCATCCCCTTAACACGCGCAGAGTTAATTCGTTGATTCTCGATTATACACGTTGCATTCTCTTATTGATCATCGTCCTGTTTGTCTTCTGACTCCACAATGGATATTTGTTTGCCCGACTTATCTCGCTTCGGAAGACGTTGCCGATATCTCCTATATTTTTTTACTCGTTATATATATATAGATTTTATCCGTCCGGCGTGATAAACAGTCATGATATAGCGATAACAACAGTAGCAAGCGTCTTGGCTGCAACTATATAAAGTGAATCAATAATTGTTGCCATCTTGAACATCCTCGAAGTAAAAAACAAAGATTTTTAGATCTTCGCAGCTGTTCTCTACTTAGAGAGAAAGCTTTTTACTGCGGCTAGCCTTTTTTTCTGAATAGTTTCCTGTTATCTACTATTCTAACTGCCCGTTCCTTATGACGCTATAACCTCTATTATCTATGCACTTTTTCGATCCTAAATCTTGTTTCTCTACCTAACGTTTGGTTTCGTCTTCACTTACACACTATCAACGCACTCACCCCTAATTTTACCTATCTGACTTCCCCATACTCAAATCAATATACTAAAATCATTTCAAACTCACTCACTATGTCAATCAAACATCCATATACTTGAACGACATTTAGCCAAGTCCAAGGACATCTTTTTTTTGCTTTGAAGATATTCAAAATGGCAAATGGTTATTGATTCACTTTGTGTATTGCGATTCGACGCGATGGACGTCGCGTTATTCGCCAGCGGATTTCCTACTTTTCACATCGGTATGTCGTTTGAAGGGCCTCTCTTTCCCGCTGTCTAGATGGCCACACACCAGACGTGGTGAATCGATATTCCAGCGGAGATCCGGATCGCCCTATTTGCGCAACTACCGAGCCTCTCCTGTTCTCCTCGTCCCGCCTCGTCTTCCCTCGGGAGCTTAGTTCTTTAAGAATATTATCACGGCGATTCTTTTCAGAGGGACAAGACGACAAGACGCAACCGAGGAAGTGTAACATCACGGACCTCGGGAGCGCACAATGTGGTAAGAACGAGAGGTGCCACGCGAGCCGCGCCGATCAGCAAGCGCTGTGCGAGTGTAAACGCGAATACCATTTAGTTAATGGCGAATGCGTTTTAATCACCCTCACAACGGCAAACTTCGACCTCGCAACCCTGAAGCCTAGAGTGCTTATGTCTGAGTCAGGAGGTACGTCGTGCATGCGGAAGGACAGAGAACCTAAATTAACGAGTTAACGGGGACCAAACCGGGAACCAGAGTATATCGCTTTGCGCTTCAAACGCACTTCTGTTCTCTAGAAATACTGAATGCTCTCGGTTGCCGTTTGATAGCAGGCTTTGCACGATCTCGACGATTTTTTCTATTTCTGAGATTTATTCTTCTGATTTATGTTACGTGCTGAATGTATGCGCGGAAAAAAATGTTTATTTGTGGATTAACCGAATGTCTAGTGTAATATGAACAAATTCCGGTTAAAGTTACCAGAATTCTGTGTTCAAGTTAACAGAATTCTGGTTGATCTAATCAGGACTTGCAACTGTTGCGATCTTGTTAACTTCAGCGGAACTCTGGTAACTTCAGCCGGAATTCTTCATTCATACTTCACCAGACGCTTGGTCAATCCGATCAAATTATTTGTTTCCGCGTATTATTGCGTACAATTGGGAGAGGCATATTCGCAGATTGCTTGGCTCGATGCATATAGTTCAGTTTTATTATCTGCTCGACGTCACGTTGCTCGTTCAAACAAGGGCGTCACTTTTCACGCTCAGATAACGCCAAGTTTCAGCCAGGCGCGCTATTAGTCACTCCGCTATTATTCCAAACGCTGATACAATAATGCAACGGTGTGCAGAAAGAAAAGTGCACGAAGCGGTCGGGGCTAACGACAACAAGCGACGCGCGACGACATCGTTGCGACTAAAGTGTCAATCAATTTGATTTAGGTAGCTCCGTAGCCGCTGGTCTGCTAATACCAACCTTCGTCGTAGTAGTCGTCGTTCTGCTATACGTCGGCGCGAGGCGGTACAAATGGCTGCAACGATTTCGGCAGTATCGTCACAATCGTTACGGCAATGTCCTAGTCACGAGAGACGACGACGACGACGACGATCCGCCGATAGCGTAAGAGTCGAAAAGAGGCCAGGATACAAAGAGGGAAAACGAAAGAAACAGGAAGAGAGCAATGCTAGCGCAAAACGCTCACGTGATGGAGACGCGCTTGGGCTTGCAAGCGACGCAACGCATCCTTATCCGTTGACCTCACGCATGTAGTCACGTTCTATGAGGGTTTTTAGCGGCGCTCTCAAACAGCGAAAATTCGTACGCAATCTTCCCCGAGAAAAGGACCGAGCGCTTCGTTGCGTGCGCTTCGTTGCGAGCTTTGACGCGCACTCTCTAAGGTGCATTCAGTGTATCCTTCACTGAGATGCTACACTTACAATTGGTGGTTCAATTAGAAGTATAGCAACCAGTAAAAGCTCACTGAGAGAATTAATTAATAGAAACGGTTGTCCTCATTACTGATGCAGGTTTGCAAACAGAATGTCATCGCATGTAAAGTGCATAGCAACCGTTAATTCGCCGCGAACGCTGAAAATTGGACTTATTGGTATAATATGTATATTTATAAATTTTGTATAATACGTATATTTATAAATTTGTATACTACAGATGTGTTGCGGTGAAATTTTAATTCCACTGGTCGAAGTCAATGAGATATACGAAGGAAGAGCAATGAAGTAGGAGTGTTTTCACTGAGAACTAGTGAATATTCACTTAATGTTAGCGAAATATTCTTTTTATTTGTTACAATCACAGAAACATCTTTACTGATGCACTTAAAGAGAGTAAAGTGAAAGTACCAGTTCCCAGAGACATGCCGAGCATTTTCTATTGATTCGATCCTTAAGTACAAGATATCTAAACTTTCGATATAGCATATACGAATTTAATACATGTATATATATATTTCCTGTTGAAAGTTTAAATGTTTAAATGTATTTTTAGAGAGCAAAACAAATAAAAATGTGCACGATTAAACGCGTGTCCGGGCATCATCAGTACTTTTATTTTGGTCCCGCGTGTCATGACATGAGTTTATTTTGCGCTCGGTGACATTCTCATCCCGACGATGTGGTTACGCGCGAGCGTCAACGGAGAAGCGCGGGTTGCGAGAAGCGCGCGGAGGAGACGAAAGGCGAGCTGAATCACGAGGCCAAATGCAAAGACGCGCTCGCGCGAGTAGTCACGTCTTTGTGAGCAAAGTGGATCTTTTGCAGTCGCTTGATTCATGCGGAAATTCACTGTGACTTTCCCTGCTTTTGCGTTTGCCAAGAGAAGAGAAATTTTGGAATTGTTGCTGTCTCTTCGTGGTGCTATTAACCTCTTCCCTTCCGATTGGTCGCGCAAGAGCGTTGCTACTCGCGCTAGTTGTCGAAACTATATTTATATGTGATGACAGTGGTAGAGTAAAGGATGTGACATGTGACGGACTGCGTCTACGACTAGATGTAAGAATCCTCACAAGAACATAATTTTTTACATTGATATTAATAAGCTGGTCAGTAAACTTTACGTAATGTTAGCGTAGTGTACGATATAATACGGTGATCTCTCGTTTCTCTCATCACCTCCTCATATCCTCCTCACTCTGCGTGAAATCCAGGGGAACTGTATCAAATGTACCATAGAGGACGCTTTCCTTTGCAGAATCCTTCACGTGCAGTCTTAAGTTCTTCCTTGCAGAACTTATCCCGTGATACTGACTCATTCCGCTAAATAACGCGAGTTTTCTTCGTGCAAATTTATAGGAAAGGAGATTGGGAAATTGTGTTATGAATCTTTAACATTTTTAAGTAATATTTTTATTTAGTCAAATTATATAATTTTGAAGTAAGTAATATAGAGAACCCGCATTATTGATGGGATGACTCGGTGCAATATTCTCGACACGCATGACTGAATCGATTTGACACTCACGATTTGACACGTGTCCATTAAGTTATTTTCTTGTTGCTTATATGTGTTTTATATGTATTAAATTTTTTAGAGCAACTTGACTCTCGATTAGTTTTTCGCACCTTGCGCTTTTGTGTTTCTTCTTTTCGAAAAAGTGGTTCTTTCAATCAGATATCGAGTCGAATCCAAATTAGTACTTACCGTTATAGGCGATGTGACGAAATATTCCAAATTCCCCTCTGAATAAATCTGACAGAGTTACCTTTTTGTAAATGCAGGAAATTTGGATGAGATCGCATTTATACCAAAAGAATACGTCGTGCTTTCTATTATCTCTTCGATGTTTTCTGTAACATAATGAAATCTGTATATATATTCTTCGCCCCTCGTGCGAATGCGTAATCTTGCCAGCGATTATTTTTTTCCTAGAATCTAATCTACTCGTGATCTTGGAAGATGTGTTATCTACATATTGATGGACGCGGACTTCAAGTCCGCGAGAGAGACAGACTAACAAGAGATAAGCTTTCTCAAGAGAGTTATATATATATATATATATATATATATATATATATATATATATATATATATATATATATATATA